TTGAGTCTGTGACGCATCATTCAGTGTCTGCGCTTACCATTCGACGCCATTTACAGTAGAGTGGTCTGTCCGCAAGACGTCCATTGCTTGGTCTACCCTTGACGCAGAACCATAGACGTCTCCGCCGCCAATAGTGCGATTAAAGAAGGATGTGGGCGGCAGAATGGAATGAAGTTGTCTTTACTGACGAGTCACTCATCTGTCTGCAACACCACGATGGTCGGATTCGAGTCTGGAGACACCGTGGAGAGAGGATGCTGAAAAGCTGCGTTATGCACCGCCACACTGGTCCTGCATCGGGTATTATGGTATAAGGTGGTAATAGATATCACTCTAGCACTCCTCTAGTATGCATTGCCGGTAATTTAAACAGCCAGCGCTACATCTTTGAGGTGTTGGAGCCAGTTGTCCTTCCTTACCTTCAGGGCTTGGCCACAGCTATATTTCAACAGGATAATGCGCGACCACACGTGGCACGCATTGTCCAAAGGTTCTTCGTCAATCACCAGATTTTATTGCTTCCCTGGCCGGCTCGCTCTCCTGATCTTTCACCGATAGAAAACATGTGGTCCATGGTTGCTCAACGATTGGCTCAGATTACACCCCCAGCTGCCACACCAGATAACTTTGGCAACGTAATGAAGCTACTTGGTCTGCTGTACCCCAAGAACACATCGAAAGTCTCTTTGAATCAATGCCGAGGCGTGTGACAGTGGTGATCTCCAACAATGGCGGCTACTCTGGCTACTGATTCTGGCAGGAACCACACTTCACAGAAGTCTATAAATTTAATCATTTGATACTTGGTCAACATATTATCTATAAAATAAATTTTGTTGTGCTATCTCCTGCCTTTCTTGGTGTTGCATTTACGGTGGCCAGCAGTGTATATATGGAAACAAATAGTTGCATAAAATTTCCATTCACAATTTCTACTATTTATGTCTCTTGACCAGATATTTCTGTTTAGTGTTAAACACTTGAGTTCCATTTCATGCAAACTTAAAACTTACTTGGAGAAATGTATTGACATGTTATTTTGTTATCACTAATATGTATCTAAAGTATCCTTTTATATATAATTATACTTTTAAAAAAAGAAATTGATCATTATAATACACAAGTGCCCAAAATTTGTCTTCGAAACATATGTCACACAAAAATATCAGTGATTTAGGCCAATTAACCCTTAACAATAGTTTTGAAAAAAGATTCTCTGTAATTCTCTTCGATAAATATCATCCAAGTACTCTTCTTAGGTCAATATTTGCAACTAACTCAATGGAACAAATCTATTCAGGACTTATATCAAGAAATTTTTTTTTGCAAAAGTACAAATACCAATAAATGCATATTTGTTATCTAAATGTAGTAAAAAAAAATTATATATGTGTGTGACAGGTTTATACCTACAGTCAAACTCTGAAAAACATATGTGTTAATACATAACACGCAAATATATTACAATTTTTATTTTTTTGTAAAAGAATTATGAATTCAAAAATGACTTATTTATTTTGGTAATGTAGGAGTGAGCAGGACTTTTATATTTAAAATATGGACACAAATTTATATTCTACTATATACACATTCTAATTTAAAAATTTTAATTCCTTGAATTATTACCATATTTGGAATTCAATTCTCGATAAATCATATATTTTACCTAAAGTAGTGCAGCGAATAAAGACTTTTAAAATGTAGCACAATTTTTTTACGTGTAATTTTACAAATGGTAAATGATAATTTTGATTCCTAATGTTTGAAAGTGGTGCTTATTTCATCAATTAGTATAAACATTAACAGAGCTGTAGTAAATTAAGATATTTTTCCATTTCTGTATTTTTCTTTTTCCCTGTAATATTGTAAAATTATTAAGTAAAATAAGTTTTATAAATATATATACTTCTTTTTCATATATGTATGGTTACATATCAGATTCTTGTGTTCTAATTTTAGATAATTAAATGCTGAAGTACCTGTGTTAACTACTCTGAAGATGTGCAAAATAAGTAAAATTTAAGTTAACTAAACATAATATGTTCTTAATATAAAACAAACATTTGCTTTTAAATATTTACATTCTTGTAGAAGTCTACATCCATCCAAAATCCTTTTTGAAGAAGTTTCATTTGTCTTACGGTGTTTAAAACATTATTCAAAGAGTGGTCAAACACATAAATACTGGGAAGATAATATGTAATCCTCACGCTTCATCATGCCATCAAAGCACTTGATTTTTAACATGATATTAAAAAATGATTTTTTCTTTCCAATTAACCTTTCTTTACTGATCGAGCAACCATTTCAGCAAAATAAGACATTTAAGAAAGTAAAATGTAAATTTTTAAGAACAAAATAATCGTACGCAACAGTAGTAAACAAATGACGCCATATTCCCCTGCTGACGGAATCACGTGATCGTGACGTCAAATTAATTTAGTCCATTGAAAAATATCTAAGAGTTCCTTAGAGTGTTCTCCCTCAAAATTAGAGTGGAACCGAAATAAATCTTACTGTCTCCTGTATAGTGTTCAAAAGCTACAGCTAACGACAGAAGTAGGCCTCTATACCTTTGCCGATTTCTAATGCCATCCTGTCTGACACCGTCAGACGGGTGGGTGGCATTAGAAACAGCAACATATCTAAGGGTTTTGTTTGTTTGAAAAATAATTGGTTGAAGGCGTGGCTTAACGTACACACCCGCAACCCCCGCATCGCGGGTGGGGAGACAAGGTTCTACGGGGCCCAAAGCCTGACTCAAAGCCAAGATCGTACCCCTTGTAAGATCCGCCTTTGGGTCCAAAACCTGACTTTGTAGGGGGGCCCTAATATTCTCCATTACACCACTGGTCAAGGGCAGATTTATACAGGTCAAACATTTTAATAGACACATATTCACCGTTAATTGGACCGACAGTCAAAGAAAGAAAAACAGTTATTTTTTGTCTTGAGTTCGTTTTGCTCTGTCTCAGATTCATTCTCTAACCCCAGTTCAGGTTAAAAAATTTTAACGGGCTCCAAGCTGGTGACATTTAATTGCTCATATGTAAGTTTATATAGCATTAACCAGTTAACTGTGATTGACGAGTATACTCGTCATGCATAAAAAGTAGTGACCGTTGGCTATTTAAATTGTAAATTACAGAAATTTGAGAAAAACAAAACACGCATATTCTCAAATTTCAAGATGTTTAGAATATTTTGAGGCCAGGCGAGAATAAAAGAAATACATAAAAAATATGAAAAATTTAAGAGGAATTCGGGCGCACCGGATGAAACGGCGTATAAGTTCAAATAAAGATAGTGCAGCCATAACGTTTTTTAGATGTTAGTCCAAAAGGGTCAAAGGTAAAAGTCGTAAAAAGTTGATTTATAATAGAGTTTCTTCAGGTATGATCACTCATGGGACAAATGCATGACACCGACCAGGCGCTGAGTCTACTGAAAGCTGCAGGCCCAAGTTCCCCAGCTATCAAGTCATGTAAATGCCATTTGTTTAATGTGAGAACCGCGTGTGCTGACATTAATGGCCCTATGTCGCGCTTACTGAAGAACAGTTATATTAATGAGGTGGAAGGGCAAGGACGCATTCTTATAAGAGGACTGGGATCAACCCTATACAGCACCTACTACAGAGTTTCCTTAGTGTCAACACAGATGGAAAATATTTTGCCAGTGAAGAAGAAAGTAAATCAGTGTGTGTTTAGGTATGTTAGTTCGAGAGTTTTGACGGTCACTATAAAATTCATAGATAACCATAAAAACTCGAATATGTATGTAATATATGTTTATGTTAGCCAAATAAATAAGTATGAGTAGTAGAATTGGCAGTTTTATAAAATAAAACAATTTTTTTAATCCAATATTTTAACAGTGATACTTACTCTGTGATTGACTCGTCATCGTTGTTTACTCATCATCGCTCGATTTGAGTAATACACATAGTTGCGTAGTCTCAAATGGGGGTACCACAGTTAAACAGTTAAACTTTTTCCTTTATATATAAGCTTTCTCTCCTCGTTAAATATTGTTCTGTATTCAGTGCAGTAAAATTTAAGGATGCTGAAAGTAGGATATTTTTTATTTGCTTACTCTAACAAAAGCATTCTTCCTTCTGATCAAATATTTAAAATGTAAAAGAAAGCATAAGTGCTGTGCTTATGCATACTTCTTAAATTAATTTCATCCCTGCTAAAAGTCTTACTATGGGTACAAGAATATTGTCCGATATACCTGCAAACAATCCCCGAAGCACATATTTATTCAAATATTGTTTTATTTTATCAATATTATACCCTAAGCACTTGTAATGTTTAGAAAGATCTTAATGCTTAACAAGTCGTATAATTGTATTTTTAGCATTTATTTTAGTGTTACTTATACTCTTTTGCAGTGATTTAAAAATATAATTAGTATATAATATTTTATATTTGGTGAAATTTGTGAATTATTTTTATGCCTTTTTCTTTTGTTATTTTATTTTAAAAATCTATATTATTAAATAATCGAATAGATAAAAAAGTTGCATCTTCATACAATTAATTTTTAAAATAATATTATTTTTAAGGTTTTTTTTTCTCTTTATTTCAAAAATATCCCCGATATAATTGGTTCAGTATTTCGAAAACTGTTTTGCAGTTTTGTAGAAATAATATGTTTTATATGTTCAAAATGTACTTATGCATTGAAAGCTTAATATATACGCTAAAATATTTAAAAGCCTTTAAAGTACAACCAATAAATACGATTTGTTTTATCCACTACCGATTATATAATACACTTTCATCAAAGCAAGAGCCTTGCTTGAATAGTAGTTTCAAATAGAAATCTAATGAAAATGTAAAATTTCACATTTTCCTTTCTTTTGTGTTATTGAAAAACGGCTATGATAAAAAAAAAAATTTTTTTTAATGTTAATTTTTAATGTTTTAAAAAGCATTGATTGAAAGCATTGCAAATTGTAGAAATAGTATGTTACGTTGCGCAAACTCCTTGTGTCCGGGATGGCCGAGTGGTTATGGCATCAGACCTCTGAAGCTCTCGCATGTGTAGCCACCTTTCTTTCAAACTAAACGGCGACCTCTTGACAGGAGCATTAGTAATATATTCTTAGTAAACATTTCACACTTACAGAAACGTGGGCTGTCGGCGATCAGATATACTAAAGGCAAACCATTCTGTGAGAAGTTCTTCAGGCAGCCTCACGTTACGCGCACACAAACACACACAGACATCCGTTTCAGATCAAATAGTGGTGACAACACGTCTGGGTTGAAGTTAATCTGAGTCTCACATTCATGAGCGCAGGTTCGATTCCTGCTCCTGGGCTGTGGTTTATTTCGTTTTTCTTTAGCATCACAAAATATTTTATTGACCAGAATTATACCGAACCCCTTAAGAGAGAGTAAATACTTGGTACAGCATTGTATTCTGAGCTTTTCGACCATCCATATTTCCATAAATTTCCTTTTTTTTATATTCTTTTTATATATTCTTCATTGAGCTCTCTCACGTACACATATAAAGAAACAAATTTAATTTATAACTCTTATAGCAGAGAGTACCATTTCTAAACTCATTATTCTGAGTTCACGTTAGTGGCCACGGTAGCCTAGTGGTCAAGGTATCGGATCGTGGCTCACGAGTTCGAGCCCAGTACCACTAAACACCCGTCGTGTAGGGGTGCGATACGCGTTAAATCTATCTAGAGATCAAATGTCTTGCCGTTGGTGTGGTAGTTAGGAGAGGGGGTGACAGCTCAGGTGGTGTCCTCGTCACTTGACCATGGTTATAAAATTACGAAGTCCGTCATCAAAAACCCTCGTGTAGCTGAACAGTGCGCGACGTTAATATTCACTCATTCAGTCATACTAAGCGATAAAGATCAACCAAATTTGCTGTCACACTCTCTTTTTTATTTATTAAATTTGATTACAACAGTAATATATTTTTAACATTTGTAAGCGTACAGTTTGTGAGTATACTGTAACATACAGTGGCTTGCAAAAGTTATCAAAAATTTTAGAAACTTTTGCAAAAAACATGCCATTTGAATTGAATTTTAAAAAAAATTTCCTATTATCTACATTTGATTCTAAATAATAAAATCTTACCGAATTTTTTTAATGTTAATTTTTTAAAAATAAAGTTCGAACAGGCTACGAAAGAGAGAGTCACAAAAGTGTTCGGACGCCAAAACATTTTCCAATAAATACATCAATAACGTTACCTTCTGTCACTTTTTTTTTGACTTTCCGTTATTTGACGCTTAAAATATCTTGTTAGTTTACTTTTGTTTATTTCAAAAAAAAAAAATATATTGTTCCTAATGTCATAAATTACCCTTTTTGTAAGAAAACTGTTCGAGGCATTTCAAACGTAGATTCGATGAATTCCGAAGTTGTGGGCTGCATTTACCAGATGCTGGGTAACTTCGCTAAGACTAGAGAGAGAGAGATGTCTTTCAAAAATTAAATGTTTATTCTACTGAGGTTGGCACAAAAACATATAAAAAGATTAAGCTTTCGGCTACTGTCGAAAGCACAAAACAGTTCTGAATATATTCCTCAGCTTACAGACTGACGTAACAAACAACGCCACCTAGGAGCAGTTTTATTTCGCTTCACTTAATAGCATCCTCCTTTCCTTAAGACTCGGAAAGAGTCTCAAGCACATAACAAGTTCGATTGAATGGATCTAATTTCTTTGCTTTCTTTACACATCTCCCGGATGAAGTATATTTTTGAAGTATTACCTCCTTGGGGGAGGCAGAGCTTCAATTACAGTGGGAATTGGTTTCTCTAAAACCACTGGCGTAGTTAGTCCTGGGGCCCCTTATCAAAATTTTTTGCACACCCTTTCTGGGGATCCCTTAATGTATTAACAATTTTTCCTCGAGTATGTTGGGGGCCCTGTATCATTGATACGGCGGTAGCTACGCCCCTGTCTACAGCCTTTTTAAGATTTTCATCTGATCATATCTCTAAAGAATAGATACGCTGTATTGGTCGCAAAACTTTTCCGAGTTGCATTTTAGGCCTAACTGTGCAAATTTTCCCATTTCGCCCTAGAATTAATTCAATAATTTTTTTCCCAAAGCCCAAAAAAACCTTTTGTTGTTATCTGATATCTGAGGATCACTGCATGTGGCTTCTCATTATGTTTTTGTATAAATTGGCTAGGGTATTCATTCCCTAAAGCGTTGACGTAGACCTTTTAACGGTTTACTTCGATATTTTATTCTTTTGTTAAGTCTGTTCGA